CAAAAGTAATGTAACTGAAATTTAAATATTAAGGACAAAATTTGACAATCATAAAACTTATGTAGTCACAGTGTGTAAGAGCACTTATATGCAAGTTTTGGTTCAAATTTAAAAGTTCAAAATGATTATATAAAAGAATAATTTTATGCTTACCAATTTTAGCTGATGAATGCTTAATTTCTTGAGACACCATGAGCTATTAAATAAAAAATAAGATTAGATCTACTTCTTAATTTTGTATGTCACATACCTCCTTCAGATCATACACATATTTGTCACAAGTAATCTCAATGATGCCAATACTAGCCAACTGCTTCTGTAGCTTTTCAGTGAGAGGAAACAGCAGAAAATAAAGATAATCAGGAATAAGATAATGCAAGTGAAGAGAGCCAATGGTTACAAATGAGAAGTATAACCTCATCTCTGGAATGTCCAACTCTCGTGGTATTGCTCTATGAAAGAAGAAAAGGTCTGCTAGTGTGTAGTCCTCTCGCTCAACTTTAGCAATCATGACTCGTGTACCAGGAGGAGCATCCATTATACCAAACTGTACAGCATCAACGTCTTTTAGCAAACCACCACTGTTAATGAAATAGTCCTTTAACTTATCTTCATACATCGACCACATTCTCTTTAGCGACCTTTTCTTTCTCAGAAAAACAGAAACGAGTCGAATGATTATTTCATAGTTGAACCACGATATGTATTTATCTTGCAAGACTGTAAAAAGATCTTCAACACTTTTACAGTTACAGAACTCTTCCCTAACTGCTTGGACTACAACTTGGCTATTTTTGGGGGGGCCCAATAAAGAAACTATGTGACTTTTGAGATACTCAATAATTTGAAGAAGGAGCTTTGGCTTAAATGATACTTTTGTTACTCGAATAGCTTCAGCAAACTCTTTCTGGAGATTATATATTTTATTTAGAAGTGAAAAATTTCTTTCAGAAGCAACGTAAATTGAGGTGCCTAAAAATTAAAATAATCAAATACATACACCTAACCAATAATAGTAATAATAAAGACATGAGTGTCATAATAAATACCGTATAGTGGAAAATTTTCGTGGCACAAAATTTTCATGGATTTCGCATTTTTTTCAAAATCCACAAAAATAAAATCCTCGAAAATCAATTTAATACGGTTCAAGATGGCCAAAAAGTAAAAAACCACAAAAATTAAAGCCACGAAATTGATTTTTGAATGGATCTGTGAAACTTTTGGGCCACAAAAATTTTCCGCCATATGGTATTACAGAATTTCTTACAGTATTTGAACTAAAGTCTTTGGCCAAATTTTGCCAAAAATGACTAGGAAAGAATTCTTGATTTTAATAACTTTTTCTAATATATATACATGTTCTTATGTTGTGTAGCAAGAGTTTTTGGACAAATTTTGTCAAAATAACTGGGAGAAAATCCTCCATTTTAATAAGTAAGCCAAATTATAACTTTAACAAAATGGATTTTACCTTTTGAAAACGTTGATCTTATAAGAGAAACATCTACAGTCACACCCTCAGCAACTGGTAGCAAGTGGTTAAGAGATATTTCTTGTGCTAGTGCTGGATTGCCTCCTCCTTCTCTAACAGCTACACACATGATCCTCCAACATGGAGAACCATGAGTCTCATAGTCATAGTCTTTCCTCAGCCAATACTCAAGAATCTGCTGTAGACAAGAGAGAGGATTTCCCCGATGAGCAGCTTCTATACTGTTGATGTCATTCATTCGCAGTCTCAGTGATATAGCCATTGACTTCCAATGGGCACTAAGAGACTTGACCTTATCATAAACATCATAGTAATCACTGATGCCTGGAGTAAAGAAAGTGATGCTATCATAATTGAGAGCAATGGATATAGTAAGCTGTAATACTGAACAAGTGTAGCTGCTTTGTTTGATATTACATTGCAGTTTACACTTTAAAATGTTTTTATTTTCACGTCTTTAAAAGCAAATTCTAAGGCATCTTTTTGCTAATGGTATATGTAGTACATTATTGACATAGCCCAGCTTTGCTTAGGCGAGGACT